TATCACATGTATACACATACATAACATAACATATGCATGCATCCGTTTACGTTCATCATGTGTTTGCACATATATCMTCCATGTATATTATTTTATCATGCATACCATTAGATATTCAAATATTAATTACGTATAATTTTACCTTAACCCAGATTGTCTGAAACCGGTTATAACACAACTCATACTTCTAGTACTCTTTATCATGCTTCTAGACTTGTCTTGTAATCAATAGTCTTGTCAACTCATATTTTTTTAGTCTAAACAACTCATCACTAGATTGCTCATTCATGCTTACTAGACTTGCCAACATACTTCTAGTCTTAACAACTCATCACTAAATTGCTTAGTCATGCATACTAGACTTGCAAACACACTTCTAGTCTTAACAACTTATCACTAGCTTCTTTAGTCTTATATTAAGATGTTTCACTAATGTAACAACTGCAAGAATACTTGAATTACTCATAAATATTTACATTTAAGGCTTAAATATTGAGATTTATCAAATAAAAAAACTAGGGTGTTACAATAACCATCATTGAAACATAGAACAAACCAAACTAACCTAATAAATTCCATTTAAAAGCAGTGTCTAGGAGGAATAAGATGTAGAGAGACATGATGTCCACCTAAAACATGGTAGATTGGTTGTTTTCTATGAAGACTAAGGTATCGTTTACCAAACACTTATCCGGGTAAGCGTTTACCAAGTCACTTTACTTTAACAGATGAATATAACAAGAACTAAGAATCTTACCCAATAAGAGGGAAGACAAGAATCGAGAGTCTTACCTAGTAAGTGAAGACGAAAACTCTTACCATGGTTAGCGCTTACCGGGATAAATTGTTGCATACGATGCATTTTAGTGAATAAAATCTTGTCCGGTAATTAAGCGATGGTGTTGAACTTTACTAGTAAGTGCTTACCGGGTAAGTGTTTAGGTAAACAACCTCTAAGATAGATGAACTAATAAGAAAAATAATAAATAATAAAAAGGTAAGACAAAACAGTTTAACAACCAAATCAAACCAACCACTAAAGCTCTGCTGCATTCAAGAATCCATCCATCCACCCACCTAAGGAAAGAAACAGAACAAACTCCAATTACTTGCTTCAACTAAAGCATTCATCTATCTATTCATATTCTATTCTATTCTGTTCTGTTGTATATCTCCAAAAAAGGCAAACACTTTTGTATGTTTCCTACCTACTGTTTCTTACTTCTATACAATATCAACCTCTTGCTATTCATATCTATTTCTATCAGATTCTGCTGTTAATCAAAGAATGCTATCTCCAACATTATATCCACAAAAACAAAGAATTAGGCTTGAAAAAGGTATTTCAAGTCGTCCACTGTAAGCCGAGTCTGCCGGCTACCCGTTTCGTCCTCCCCAAATGCAGATGACACCATTTCCCTCTTCTTTTGCTGCAAATATCAGACAATAATCACATTCCAACAAAATAATGTAAATAACCAAACACATTGACTTTGCATAAGTGTTACTATTAGGCTATGTTTAGACATATTTTGTACTCCCTTTGTCCCAAAATAACCGTCTACATTTCTATTTATATTTGTTGCAAAAATAGATAAATTAAATTCTCAAATCTACCCTTAATTAATGCATAAAAATATTTAATAGTTATGAAGAGAGAGAAATTAATTTAAGGGTAAAGTTGTCATTTTGTTAACTAAGTGTGATTATTATGCATGTCTAAAACCATTTCTGTTGTGGACACTTGTTTTGGGACGGAAGGAGTATAACTAGCTTATACGTTAGATGAGAATGTACAAATACTTAAAAGAACATGTTACAAAATTAACTGGAAATATATAGGGAAGAGAAAAAAAAAACTTGGAGTTTAATGAAACGCTATTTGAAGTAACTTTTCAAAAAGCTAGCTAATCAACTGGCTCATGGCTAATAGCTAATGAAACGAGACTCTTTCAACAAGCTCAAAAATTATGCTAGTTTATAGTTGCCAAACATGGCCTTATTGAATGTCTTTCAAGGGAAATCTTAAGGATGGAAACAGATTGTCCCCCAATCCCGAGAGAATTGTACCCGTTACCATCTTTGGATGTTTGTTGACGATTGTAACATTTCCTTTTTTGGCAAGTTTTCAATGTGAATTTACCTATTTGCCCATTGTCGTTATTACAAATATTTTCTTTTTTGGAAATAGATCATAACAAATTATTCATGTCACTGATTGTGATATATTGCAATTGCGCAGGATACCCTTCTTTTAGGAGTCGTTTATCAAACGCTAAATGTTTTAGCGCTTACCGGGTAAAAGTGACCTCTACCTTACCTGGTAAGATTCTCGGCCATCAATATTGCAAACCCTGTAAGTGCTAACCGGGTAAGAGACACCACCCTCACTTAGCGGTAAGATTTAGATGAGAAGAAGTCTTTCATTTCCCTTCCCGCCGAGAGATCGAGCACAAAATGGAGTTCCCATCTTGGGTGAGGCTCACGTCTCACCAATGCTAAGTGACCTAGTTAACGTTTGGTAAACTGCTCCTTTTTTTCTAGGGTCTATTTCTAAGTTCAAGATCCCTCTTACTAAGGGGAATCAAAGGATTAGATAGATCCTATAAGATTTAAGAAACATTGGACAAATGGTCAAACTCTTATACAAAATTGTGTGTTGTGAATGCAATTGATAATTTGTAATGATGACAATAGTTTGCCAAATGGAAGCATTGTAATATGTAATGTAAACAAAAAACCCTATTTAGACCTCAGATGGACAAAAAAGCCCAAGCTCAAAGCTCGAGCCTAGCAAGCACAAGACAGGCCTTAAGGCCTAATCAAGCCAATTTCTTGCCCGGGATCTTTTTCTTACTAATGGGCTTGAAAGGCCTGGACCCAAGCCCGAAAAACCCGGGCTTGTGCAAACCTAGAGTCTAATGCAATTCCAAAGACAAAGATATGCTCTACAATATTTTCCATTTTGGGACAGAAAATAAACATGTTATTATAGGTCTTAGAGCATCTCCAACAGATTCCCAACAAAATTCAAATTGGAGAATTAAAAATCAATATCTCCAAGAAAAATCATATTCAACTCCAACAGCTTCATTTTAGAGATTACAACATCAACTATGTTATTAAGATATTCAATACATTTAATAAAATATTATTTCTCTCTCCTAACCATTTAACAACAGGGACTCTTATTGGTGGTAATAATAAATAATTTCTCACTATTAAGAAATCAATTTTAGGGAGTTCTCCAAATTTGGAGAATTTTACCTCTCCCGTACTTTCTCTGTTTTGGATAATCTATTGGAGTAAAAGAAATTAGCCAAAAATCCCCAAAATCTCCATTTTCTCAATTATTTTGGAGAACCTGTTGGAGATGCTCTTCTACTATATGATATGACGAGAAACAAAGATGGAACCACATAACACATAATAGAAGACAAATAGTGTAAACAACCAGAAACAGCAGGGGTATTGGGTATTCACGGAAACAGCTGCTCTACCCTTTCGGCCAGATGACAGATCTGCGTACATCCCACCCCGCAAACCCTACCTTCAGTGGGACCGGGATATACTGGGTTCAATTGGTTTGGCTTGACCAGAACCTATATCTTTGTAACTGTTCTTTCATTTTAATTCCCAACATGCACCCAAAAAAAAGAGATCGTAGCACCATGATAGTCAGATAGCATACCTGAAGAGCTAAAATACGATCTTCAACGGTGTCTCTAACAGTCAATCGCAAAACCGTAACCGGACGAGTCTGGCCAATCCGATGAGCTCTATCAATGGCTTGATCTTCGGTTGTCGGGTTCCACCAGAGATCCAGGAGAAGTACATGACAAGCAGCCACCATGTTCAGCCCAAGACTTGCCGCTTTCAAAGACATAATCATTACAGTGACCTACAAGAGACAGCAGTCTTAGAAAGGCAAAACAGACATGTAAACTAATTTTTGACGATATTGCCCATGAACCACTAGAAAAAACCAAACCAACCGGTTATATCCCACACAAATGTAGGGTTTGGGTGGGGTGAATAAAATTATAAAAGTCAGTTGTCCCCAAAGCCCCTTCCCCTCCCAGTCTACCAATTACGAGAAGCCACATCATCCATTTAAGATGAAAAGATGAAGTAAATAAATTTATGTTAAATAAAATAATGGCGTCGGTTCAGGTGATTGGTGGGACAGGGAATTTGGGACAGCAGATTTTTTCCCGGGGAGGGTAGGATGTACGCAAACCTTACCTCTACCCCAAGGAGTAGTTAGGTTGTTTCCATTAAGACCCCGGCTTTTAGAGCAAACAGCAGGTACAATGCCATGAAATAAACTACAGAACTACTATAGCAGGAAGAACTAACCTCAGGAAGACTGTTGAAATCTTTCACCGCTTTATCTCGTGCAACAACAGACATTGTTCCGTCAAGTCTTCTGTAACCAATTGAAGAATCCTTGAGACAAGATTCAAGCAAATCCAGCATCCTCGTCCATTGTGAAAAGACGATCGCTTTCTCTCGCACGATGACAGTGCCCATGTTAAAAACACCCGAAACATCCTTCAAACCATCTTCTGGATTCGTTGTTGTTTCCTGAGGTTTGGCAATAGACTGCAGGACATCAACAGCAGCCCTGATTTTGGAGGAATCAAGTGCCTCAGCAGCATCAATTTTCGACGAATTAACCAATCCAATGGATGAACAAGGCTCAAGAACCTCAGTTTTTACTGAACCAGAACAATCAGGGGTATTTCCCAGACCAGGCTGGTCACCAGTCGAAAGTCTAAGCGTCGATCGAGAAAATACCGAGGATGTACCAAGGAGGGTTTTGCATTTTGAGGATGGACACTGGCAATCATCACTAGAAAGTTGTTCAAGGATGCACTGATTGCAGAAAACATGTTCACAAGTTGTCACAACGGCATCTTCAGGTGGATCCTAAAGAATGTACACAAATACATGTCAAGGTGCAAGAACATCACAAAGAAGAGACATGAATAACAAAAAATTCTAGAAATCCTTATATCATCTGTTTTTGCTCTACATCTGCCTTGTTTAAATTAAACACATATAATACAGATTCAATCAAGCTTAAGGCTATGTTTGGCAAACTAGCTGATAAGCTAGCTCTTGGTGAATAAGCTACATGCCAGCGAATAAGCTAGCATATAAAGTAGTCACGTTCGGTAAAAGCTAGCTGATAAATTAGATGACCAGGTAAACTGACCTAAAAGATCAAATTGAAAAATTCATTGAAAATATATAAGGGGCATAATTGGAAAAAAGACCCTGGAATAGCTTTTCAAAAAGCTTATGGCCAACCAAAACTGAATTTTTTCAATAAGCTAGCTTGTGGCCAACCAAACTGAATTTTTTCAATAAGCTAGCTTATGGTTGCAAAACATAACCTAAATTATACTATATCAACAGATATATCAGAGAACCATAGAACAAAATCTTCAATGGCAACAAAAGTTCATAATTATTAGTATGAAAGAGATCTACTTACATTGCATATGCTGCAAATCGCCAAAGAAGCTTCTAAACAATTCAGAAGACGAGTTCGTTTCTCTGGGGTAAGCTTTTTTGCCTTCTCAAGAGACGATCTCCACTCGGAATTAGAGTTACATCCTTTAACAAGTAGAGGGTGATCACAAGCTTGTCGAAGGCGCAAAAGCATCAACAATATGTTTACATAGTTTTGTTTGACAGTTCCAGCAGCAGCATATTCCTGACAATGTGTACCAAACCTTAACATTATTATGGAGAAAATAACATGTAAGAAAGTTAAACCGGAAATTTAATATAAGAAGTTATAAATGCGTATCATACGTTTATTAACTCGTTTTGGGCAAATAACGTTTTAATTCCATGGGTTCCATTTCCATGATTCAAGAAGAAATGAATATGTGATATGTCACGTTTACGTGATGTGGGAAGGAAGAAAGATGAGACACAAAATGGAACCTTTTTGACTAACAAATGGTAGATTGAATTCCCTTCTCAGATTTATAATTTTCATGTCTTTCCTAAAAATATATTTACCTAAACTGCTGCATCTACGCTTAAAAGTTACAAGAAGATGATGATGGCATTTTAACGGGAAAACTACAATCACATGAAAAGTGAACACTATGTGATCAACCAGGTATATTCCCAAAATGGGTAATTTTGAAAAATATTTGACAAAAAATCAACGTCTAACTCATAAAGACAAAAATGTATCTATGTCGTATAATCTTTCACAGAAATTCCTCTGAACTACAAAAAACCAAGGACTATCATGTCAATATATTATCTGGTAGGAAAATGGTTCTCATTGTAAGCTGCTTGAATAATGAATTAGCAAAGCAATGGTCGATACATGCAATCTACGAGTTACAAATGATCCACAAAAGACTTAAATGAAAACATACTGCAAACTGAGCACGAGAATCAGCCTCCAGTCTGCAGTAGAACTCGCGCTCCTCAGCAGTGAAATCCACCTTTTTCAGATTAACTGTTTTAGGTGGCAGTGAGACAATCGGTTCTCCATCAAGAAGTGTACCTACAGCAAAACTATCACTCCTTTAGCATTTGCATTCACCATCCAAATACATAAATCCAAGAACTAAAGGTACAATAAACAGATGGAATCATTAAAACCATGCATCTAAACTCCCTAAAGAGAGTGAAACTGCATTTCCTGTGACATATTACTCACTTGTTCAGAATACTAATAATTTTCCAAACTACCATTTGCATTTAACAGTTCATTTCAAGTTCTACATATGCTGATTGTCGTTTCAAGCTTTTTAATTGGGTGTGCTAGAGATGAGTTGCTATTTGTTCTTTTGCAGGGTTAAAAATTCGGTATACCGTAGAGGAACAACCCAAACCTCACCATATTTTCTAGGCCAGAGAATTTGTATATTGAAAACATTTCAAATCAAACCAAATGAATGACATAATAAAATTGGATAAGTGTTCAAAATAGATCAATGTAACCTAGTGAAAGCTTAAAAGGAATGTAAAAGAACAATCCCTCTAATTTCTCACCCTTTGTGCGCCGGAGCATGATAGTCTTTAAGACGGCCTGTAACTTCTTATATCCATTTACTGGGCTCCTTTGGATAGGGATCTTGATCGTTGAGCAGAATGACGTATATACAGCATATGGGTCATATCTCAAGAATCTGAAGTAGCTGTAAAGGTCATCAATGGCATTCTGGATAGGAGTGCCTGACAAGCACCACCTGCGTTTAGCTCGGAGACCCCAACAAGCCCTAGCTACTTGAGTTTTATGATTCTTAATACTCTGAGCCTCATCCAGTACTACCCTAAACCATCTCACCTTCGCAAGAGGACGAGCAAGAGATTCAAAAAGTTCATTGTCGATTTCCTTCTTACCCTTTTTGGAATTATTGCCGGAAGTAGGAGGATACTTCCTTTTCTTGGTAGATGAGAGGCCCACTGGCTGAAATTCATTTCGTTTCTTCGTTTCATCATCATCTTCATCAACAAGTGGTTGCTTTGGAACCTCCATGCTCACAATTGCATATGTAGTGAGGACAACATCATATTTTGCTAGCTCAAATGGGTCTTTGGTTCTGTTTCCACCATGGTACACCAAAACGGAGAGATTAGATTTGCTGCTTACCTTGTTATGCAATTCATCGTTCCACTGACGAAGAACACTAGTAGGACATACAACAAGTGTTCCTGCAGCTGGCCTACTGTTTGTCTGCAGAGGAGTAATCTTAGGCTCGATTGAGCTTCCATTAATAGCCATCGCACAAGGCTCAGTCACAGTGTCATCATCATCATCCAAATTCAAAGTCTCTGTCACTTCCTTCTTCACTTCAATAGCATCAACATTAGAAGACGGAGACCTTTCCTTGAGAATAAGGGCAATCGTTGATATCGTTTTACCAAGTCCCTGTCAGAGTATCCATAGAGAATAAATGAAAATGAAAAATAAACAAAGACACATAATGGTGAGATCAGAACCTCAGATGGTAAAAGTCAAAAAGTGAAGATCACCTGATCATCAGCGAGAATTCCACCAAAGCAATGCATACTTCTCGTCTCTTTTTGTACCATCCATGAAAGAGCAATCCGCTGTCATATATTTCCTTCAAATTAGAATTTGAAGTTCTTGAAACTAAAAATCCAGTTTGAAGACTGAATGCCAAGTAAAAAGTAAGTGCTGCTATAAAAACATTTAACATTCAAGAACTACGCAGTGCCCAGAACTTCTCAAACATAAGATGTCAAGTGTAGCATTGATTTGAAGACCGTGACAGCGAATTTTTCCAACCATTGAGGTGTGAAGTTATCCAAGTAAAATGATGGCACAACATTCAACACGATATATAAACATGCTCAAATCCAGTATACTTGTTTAACTTGTAAGTATGTGTCTGCAAATATGTGTCATATAAAATTAAAAGCTCTGGGCATAGCTTTGAACCTGGTGTCTCAAAAGTGGAACTGCTAATGCACCATCTGGTGGAGTGGCCTCTGATTTTGGCTGGGAAAGATCCTGCAGCAAAATAACATAGATCTCATCAAAATATCGAAAACAAGAAGCTCAGAACAATAAGAATCAAATGGCTTACGCCTACTTTAACAAAGAAGTCCAAAATAACAGACAACCGCAACTAGTAAAATGTCATGATTCTCACAATTAGACTCACCTGCAATGCTGCTCGATAAATCAATCGTTCGTCATTCGTTTTAAGTCTCGTATTATTGAATCCCATCTGAGTTGGGGAAGCACCAAACTGGGCAGTGACAACTGATTTCCCATCTACTGGATATAGTTTCTTGGGTGCAGGTTCACTCATATCTTCTAGAATACATATATCAGGGTCACCGTCATCAACATAAGTACTGTGAACAAATGTAGTGTTCGGAACTGCTTGCTGGCTGATTTTTTGGGGAAATAGAGCCATATTGTTGAATGGAGAAAAATTGCTTTCTTTATCTTCCTTTATGTAAGTTAATTGTTTCTTGATTGAGGTATCAGACTGGAAAAAAGACTGTTCAGGTGACTGTGTACCTGAACGACAATTATCAGACAGTGGTGTATTGCTCCTACAAGTGTTATCAATGATATTGATAAAATGACGAGACCTCTTAATGTCATCCTGTTCTCCCTTCATAACATGATCATTACTTAAAATGGAATCAAAGACACCAGAAAAAGATTGCAACAAACCCTTTTCACTTTTTTCATCCTTTAGACAATTCACTAGCGTTTTGTTTGACGTGTGAAACATACCAGGAAAACGTCTTCCACTGGCATACTCTTTAGCAGGTAAACCAGAATTTTCACCGGTGGGTAAACAAACATTACTGCCTTCGGCACCAACATATGGTCCAATATAGGAGCTCTGATCCGTCAAGGATACTCCACCTACCTTCTCAGCCCGACTATTATAATTCATTGTGCTGTTTAAGAATGAATTGTGCATCAGGTGCTCTGCTGACTCAGTCTTCACATTAAACAACATCCTGTCATTACGAATCATAGAGAGACCAGATTTGTGGTAGGGCCTTGATGGACCAGAACGAGATGGTTCATTTACGCTCATAAAATATGGCATGGAAGATGCATCAGGGAGACCATATACAATGTCAGAGTATCTACTAAAATCCAAGAATTGGGCTTCCACGATATCTTGGGCTTCTGATGTCCTACAACTGTCTGCAACTGAGTCATGATATATTCCATCAGTTATATCAGATACATCCATCAGTTGTTGATCACCATCCCAATCACTAAACCCAACTACCTCACTGCTATTGGCTCTCTCAAAATTAGTTTCTCTAGTGTCATGGTGACTAAACGATGAAAGATCTTGAGCAACTCCAGTATTTGGGGAGTAAGGAGTGCCATTGCCAGGAACTTGGATCGCCCAATCACCAAGGCTAGCAGAAGAGTAGTTCAGGGAAGAGACATCTGGCCGAGATTCATTTTTTGTGATGCCAAAATTGACCATCTGCCTTTCAGATTCGAATGAACCACCTGAACAAACAGTCCCAGAAGTTGAAGCTCCAGACTGATCTGAAGGGGAAAATGTAAGTGAACCTGCAAAACCAGAACCCATAGTTTAGTATCCCACACATTAAGGAGATGTTAACCAATGATAAACGGAAAAATTTACCATTGTGGGTTCCGAAGTGCTCATTAACAGCAGCATGTGAAAATGGCTCACTACAAGGTGTGATACTTGATGATGGATCCCTTACCCTGTTCTGCAAATGATACATCAAAATCACATTGTGATTTAGTAAACTAGTGAAAGAAACAAAATGCCACCTCACATATGTAATCAAACATATATCCAGTTTTGCTTGGAACCTTTGCTCATCTTTTTCCCTCTGAACTGTTGATGAGTTAGTAATCTTGGCAAATAAACTCAAAACAAACAAAAGTTCAGAATACCATCCATCCAAAGTTTAGTCTCCTAAGGAAAGAGAAGGCCTTTGCTGAGAAATTGTTCACCAGGCAGCTTACTTCCGAGAACTCTACATAAATTAAGTACTATAAAGTTGACGTACTATAAAGTTGACCTATATGATCCTAAATCACTAATCATTAGCCCTATAAAGCATAATACTGCACAAAAAGATATGAACTCGTTCACCACCTGTATACTTTCAAAAACCACATGGTACACATAAACCTACAGAAACTACCAATGCTGGAATCAGAAGCTTACATATTCCACTGTTCAATATTAAAATGAGGCAAGACAAATGCGTAAATTAATCAGCGGATTTTGGAATGAACTACTTGCCAGCGACATCACAGATAATCCCCTGTAAGGAGGTTTGATCAATGAGTTTGTTTCTTAGTAAATTAGCATTTTAAGCACTTGTAACTGGCACTCAATGAGTTTGTTTCTTTGTTTTTTCATATTTTTTTCACAAGGAGGTTCAATCATTATAACAAAGTGCCAAGTAGTTAAAAACCACTCTTGTAATTCCAAACAAATTTTACCAGATCATACTCCAATTCAATAAATCAAGCATGAACACAACTAATTCTTCAAGAATGTCAAACTCGGTAATTATCCACGTGTAGAGATAAGCATGCAAAAATTGACCAATTCACAATCAACTACTTCATGGCAATAAAATTTACAAGGTCATTGCATACATCAAATCAGTTAACGTTCAGCAAAATCAAAATATACCTCTGTAGAATCATCGGGTTGGCTCTCCTCAAGAATACTTAACAAAGACTCAATATCCATGCTCAAATCATCATCATCAGCGGTTATACCAACATCAAAATCATCAACTTGCCATTCACAGGCAGTACCACCCTTTTCCATCATCATCCCAGCACTGAAATCATGCAATCCCACAAAACCCTAGATACTATAATTACTATTAGTATCAATTGAAAACCCTGCAACCTTTTCGATTCAAAGAACCTCAATCTTGTAAAATTCGGCCTTGTTTCACCGATCAATCAAAAACTCACCGTCAGATACATGTACATACGCAAGTAATGTGTACAAAAAGGGGTGTTTCTAGTGTGAAATCTGCGGGAATCTGTGGGGTTTCAGTATAATGTATATGCGACTTTTGTTCCTTCGGAGGCTGCCGTAAGGAATAAAATATATGTGGGTGACAGAGAGAAGGTTAAGATTAGGAATTAGCGCGTGACTTTTATGACTTTTTCCTTTTCTTTATTACTAAGTTACATAAATAGTCCCTACTATATTGCTATATGTTCATTTTGATCCTTTGACCAAACATTTTACAGGAATAGTTCCTCAATGAAAATTTCCATAACCATTTCGTCCCAATATTTATATATTTGTTAACTTCCTTAAATGTTTTGAATAATGGTTACTTAGGGGGTGTTTCGGATTGCTTATAAAAACAACTTATTGAGTTATTTCGGTATGGCACCGGTAATAAGTACTTTTGAGTGTTTGGATAAACAATTTTTACTGGTGCTGAACCGGTAATAAGGAGTTTTTGAAAAAGTTGATCTATTCTAACTTATAATAAATTGATAAGCATTTTTGTAGAAAAGCATAAGTTATTTCAAATAAGTAAATCCCAAACACCCCCTTAGCTTGATTTTATATGATTTTAACTTAGTTTTTCGAAGGCGTTTCTATTTTTAAAATGTTTAAATTGGTTATTTGAGCTTGGAAATCTCTGTGTGTTGTACTTTAAGCAATATTGATATTTACAATATTGATATTTACAACCCCCGTGAATCTATTGGTCTTTGATGTTGTGTTGAGAAAACAATCAGTTTCATGAATTCACTCTTAAAGAAGGTGTAATATACCAAATTACCTGTTCATATGAATTAGGTATTATCAACATGGTTAGAAATAAAATATTCCAACCCGCTATGCGAGCCGACTAATCCCATAGCGACCACCTGCTTTGCGGGTAGCCTGGAGTCACCGTATTTGAACCTCCGTGGCCACAAAGGGATTTTAATTCCTCCTTGGATTTGAGCTTGAGACCTCCATGCACTTTGACCTTTGGAGCCCGAGTTCAAACTAATCAGACACCACCCTTGTGGTTAGGAGCCACTATTTTTCATGATATACAAATGAAATGGACCATTATGTAGGGTGGAAGATTTTAATTCAATTTTAGATCTGTCTAGAAAGCCAAACTCAATTATAAACCAACTATTACCTAACAACTACAGATAGTTAGTGCAGTCGGTTTAGTAGTAGATGGTGTACGAAACATATATGCAAGTATATATTGTCGTTTGACCAAGTAATATAGTAGTAAGTATACTATCGTTCCACATGGATGAGAAATAAGGTCAATCTTGTGTTATCTTTATTGATTATAACTGAGTGAATTAGAAGAATAAAACGTGTTGAAAGTGATTGACGAGTAAATAAACCATTAGAATCGAAAAAGTGTTAATCAGAGAGAAGGTGGATCATGGAATCTTATCTTAGTAAATTGTGCACTACAACGTTATAGCTAGAGGTGATCAATTGAAGGATTAAGTCAGGTCTAACATAATTTTTTGTTGAACGGTAGCAAACCTAAGCCCGTTTTTGCGGGCTTAAGAACTTGCTCATTATAAACGGTTGGGCTTACTGACGGGCTAACAGACCTGTTTTTTTACATTTGAAAACAAAACTTATATGAAATCATTAGCTATGTAAAATCATTTAAATTTCATAATTTTCTTTCAAATATAAAACAGAAAGTAAAAGATGCCAGTATACCAGACATGGTGATTTGCCCCACCCAGTTAGGGAACCCGGTTCACCTTCCCCGTTTAGGGTCGGATATTCCCCATAAAGGCGTTATCGAGTATGGGGAAGGGGATCCTCGCCATGCCAAAGGTAATTCATTCCCCAACCGTCCCATATGTATATATATATTAATTAAAATTATATATATGTGTGTATATATATATATATATATATATATCCCAACCAGTTTTAGCCATTTGTTGAACTAGTTTTGTTGAAATGAGACCGGGGTGAACCGGGATAGGCCCAACAAAAAACTAGGAGGGAATTTGATTCTCCATACCAGCTAGGGATCGGGACCGAGGACGGTGATGAGGCAGTGAAGCTGGGGCTGAGGATTGCACTCCCCCTATCCCTACCCTCTTGCCATGGCTATAATATACATATAGTAAGAAAGAACAGTTTCACAATATATGGAGTATAGAAATTTTCTCTATAGTGATTTATCAACTTCTAAAGTTCGGGTTCTCTTAATAACAAAATATTTAACCACTTAATATTTCAAGATCGAGATTCGAGTCATACTGTATAACATATAACATATTCATACATACATATAGACATATAGGGAAAGGTTCATTTGAAAAGTGGTAAATATTTGAATATTTGAGAAATAAATAAGTGATCTTAGTTTTAACTTAATATGATTGGGCCCCCAACAAGATAATCATGAAGGCCCCCACTACCATTTAGCCTTCCATTTCCTTTCATGACTTCACAGAGTTCACGTCACGGTCTTCACGAATCAGGACTTCACCTGCTGGCGCACACGAACACGAAACATCGGCCATCGCTACCTCCGCTCGCTGGCGCTCGATCCATCGATGCTTCTTCTTCACTTCATGTCTTCCTCCTTACCTCTTCGGCTCTTCGGATCTTCATCTTCCTGCTTGGCTGCTTCTTCCTTCCTGGACAGTGGAAGTGAACATTAAAGCAAAGCAACTGTTTTCTTCTTGCATCCTGCGCCTACTCCAATTTAGGTAAAAAAAAATTAATTTCCAAATTCCATTATTTAATTTTTAATGACTTTGATTTTGTTATTTGCTTCACAATTGGTGATCTGGTAAATGTTTTATGTTAGGTTAATTTTGCAATTTTATAGACAAATGAAAATGTTAGGTTAATTTAGCAATTTTGTAGGCAAATGAAAATGTTAGGTTAATTTTGCAATTTTGTAGGCAAATGAAAATATTACTATTGTTAAAGATAAACCATTGATTTTTATAATGTTATTGTTATTGCTAGAAAAAATGGAAAGATTTTTTAAAAGGAAAGCATCAACATCTGAATCGAGCTCTGCTCCTTCGATGCCCTACGAAATTGATTTGAACGATCTTCCTTGGGATCCAGCCGATAGGAAAAAGATTTCGGAATATCATCCTAATCAAATGGATGAAATAAGAAGAAAATACTTGCTTAGAGGATCTTGTCAACCATGGGGTCATGCATTTCCAAAAAATTTGTCGGGAGTAAAAGAAGACGTTTTTGTCCGGCTTAGTTTGATCAATACGCTAATTGGTTGGAGTATAGTGTAAAAACGGATAGAGCTTTTTGTTTGTGTTGTTATTTGTTTACAAATTATTACGTAGGACAATGTGGGAGTGATGCTTTTGTAACAGATGGCTTTAATAGTTGGAATAAAACGGAAATGCTTGGTCTTCATGTCGGCGACTAATATGTGTTGAGAATTTAACACATAAAGCACTCTTTTTACGTCTTTCTAGTTATAATAATTTCTTTTCATTCCCACTTTGAGTCATTTTTATTTATTTCTCTATACATTTGTTATTATGAAGCTAAATATTGTGGTTGACTTATTGATATGTTTGGATGAAGCTAATAGAGAGTTTTTGTGAAACCAGCAGATGCTACAGCATTGGAGCAACATCGATCTGATACATGCGCAACTTTTTGGAGGGATTAATGATTAAGACGTTGCCTTTTTGTATCCATGGAAGACAGCTGGAAATTGCTGGAATCTGAGATTAAAAGTCTTGTTAGGAATATGTACTTTCTAGTTCCTTTAATTGTACTTTGTATCTAGTTTTAGGAAGCTTAGCCTTCAAGATTTGTCTTTTTGTCTTTTAGTGACCCATTTTGAATATAAAAAGAAGGCTTGGGGTGCCTTCTAAACCATCCATTACTCCTACTTTCATCCATTCCATTTGCTAGTATTGTAAACCCTCTCCAAGGGTGGTTTTAATTAAGCTCTTGAAGTTCTTCATCTTTTTCTTCATTTACATTCTCGTCTTTTATCTTCCGTCATTTACATTCTCGTCTTTTATTTTCTCGTCATTTACATTCTCGTCATTTACATTTTCGTTATTTACATTCTCGTTATTTACATTCCCATCATTTATTTTCTCGTCATTTACATTTCCGTCATTTATTTTCTCGTTATTTACTTTACGCAATTTACGTTTATGCCTTTATTTTCCGTCATTTATATTTTTACTTTCCGTTATGAGTAGCTAAGCTTTTATAGCTTGGGTGTAAGACGGAAATGTGAGATTTTCAAACCAAATGAAAGTAGCTAAGTGTTTCGTAAACGATGTTTCATTGTTTCATTCGAGTTTTTATAAAACCAAGCACACTTCTTGACGGGTTGATCACTTGAAAGTGTTAAAGTGCGATGAACTTAGAGATAAGCCATCAATAAGCACGTCAACATGGATGACATAAGAGGTAAACTTGAGAAAGTTGCCGACAAGGAGACTTGTCATTTATGTTTTTCAAAACTTAACTCCCGACGGGTTAGTCGCTCTTCAAAAGTGTCAAAGTGTGATAGATTCAGAGATGAACTATCAAGAACACGCCAACTCGAATGATATGGGAATCGACTCGAGAGAGTGATTTTTAACAAAGAGATTTGTTCATCCATATATTTTGAAAATACCATCTTGTCACTATCCCCGGTGCAGACACCACATAGAGATATGGGTGGAAAGCTATAAGATAGTGCAATGGTGAAGTCCGAGAGGAATGCCTTCAAAATAAATGGTGGAATTTAGTTTCAAAACACTGCTTGCTGTAGCATTCCTATAGCATTGGCTGCTGGAATTTGTGTTTGGGTCGCACCTTAAGTCTTACACCCTTGCTTCTTTTATATATTCTGTATTCTGTTTTGGATTACCTAAAAATCAAACAAAAGTCTTCAAAATCGTCATCTGAAATCATCTCTTTCATTGGACTCTAATCTAACTTTGGATACAATCTATGTGGACGATAATCCGGTACTTGTACCACTTTATTACTTGGAAAGACGACGTTGGGCCGTATTGTATACTTGCTTTGTGGCCTAATTTCATTAGTGTAAAGGTGTGAA